CCCCGCCATGCCGTCCAACAAATCCGTCTCGGACGCGCCCATCGTCCAGTTCACCAACTGCCGCATCCTGAGGAGCCACCGGCTCCAGAGGTGAGGGCTGCAGGGGGTGCCGGGGCTGCGGGGGGTGCTCGGGGTGCCGGGGGGTGCTGAGGGGTGCCCGGGGCTACCAGGGGTTCCGGGTCGGACGACCGGGCTGCAGAGCTGACCCGGGACCTGGAGCACCCCGGGGAGCGTCCTCAGGTCCCCCGGCGAATCGCCCCGCACACGCACTTTCCGTTGTCCCCGCCGCCCGGTTTCTGATGGAGACGCGGTGTGCCCGGTGCGCGGCCCCGCTCTGCTCCCCTCCCCTTTGGCCTCTGCCAGCCCCTGGGCCCCACTGCCACCACACTTGAGGGGCAGCCCCTGAAAATCCCAATCCCATGAGTTTTGTAAAGCCAGAGGCTGGGCACAGAGGGGGCTGCCGGTGGTCCCGCTGCTGGAAGAGCAGCTTTGTTCTCGTAGAGGACATCGGAGAGCCCGTGGCAGGGGCTGGCAGTGGGGTGTGCTCTGCCTGAGGCCACCCCTGTCTCCGGGGCCATGGCCACCCGCTCCCGTCTGCTGTACTGCAGATGGCACAGGAGCCCAAGCTGATTGGGGGTGTGATTGTCCCTGCAGGGAGGACCTGTGGGTGCGAGAGGGGAAAATCCTCAACCCAGAGAAACTCTTCTTCGATGAGAAGGGCTCTGCCGACATCCAGGTGGACTGTAAGGACAGCATCATTGCTCCGGGCTTCATCGACGTCCAGATCAACGGTACGGTGAAGTCACGTGTGCTCGCAGAGGGGTGGGGGGTCCCAGGTTTGTCCATCCTAGCCCTTCAAACCCTGCTGTGCATGTACTGCCCATGACCAAGTGCCTTTCAGGTGGTTGAGGGAGATGTGAGTCACTAAACTAAGGATAAAGAACAATTTTGCCCATGATTGCTGCTGTATTTGGTCCCCTTTGGCTGGGTGGAATTTTCAGCTCTTAATCTCATTTTTATCAACATTTTATCCTGCCACTTTGCTGGCAGGATGCCCACCCTACCTTTTCCAGGATGTGGAGAGGACAGAGTGGGACTTTCCAAGGGAACAAACGTTACCTGCTCTTTCCTGAGGATCAAGAGGGGCTTGTTCTGTGGTAGTTTATGTTGGAAGTCTGATCCTCTCTTTAATGGGGAATACTCAGATTTTGCCCTGCATCCAAATAAAAAGTTGGTGCTTGAAAAATGCTGGGAAGCTGTGTGGAAAAGCTCTGGTCACTCTTTTTGGGTGGGGAAGATGTAGTTTCATCTCTGTTTTGTTGATGGTGCAGGAGGCTTTGGGGTGGACTTCTCCCTGGCTACAGATGACTTCAAATCAGGGATTGACCTGGTCAGTCAGAAAGTCCTCTCCCATGGAGTGACCTCCTTCTGTCCCACCCTGGTGACCTCTCCTCCATCTGTGTACCACCAGGTAAGTGACTTTTCTCCCTCTCATCCGCAGGGTGACAAAAGGCTGAGGTTTGGTACCAGGAGATGAGAGGGCCATGACTGGGCCTGCAGAGACTAGGGCAGCTGCCTTGTTGGAAAAGCCTTCGATGTGAGGAGCTGGACTCTACCCCTGGATTTCTTGCCCTTAACCTTTAGACCACTGGGACAGCGATGTCTCCCAGGCCAGCTCTGCACAGCGGGGCTTGCAGCTCTGCGAGCTGTGTTTGGCTGATGGTCCCAAATGGTCCAGCTACAAAGCTCTCTGTGGCCACGACCTTTGGGTTTGTTTTGGCAGGCTGGGGTGCCATGTCTGGGGTCCCATGTCTGACAAACCCCTTTTCTCTAGGTTCTGCCCCAGATCAGTATAAGAAATGGTGGAGCCCACGGAGCAGGTATCCTGGGTGAGTGGTTTTGTCCTTCGCTATCCTCTCTGGTGCTGCTCTCGGCAGGCAATTATCTTGTTTGTTGTTAAGAGGAAAGAAGCCACTGTAGGGGCAGCACAAATGGGGGTGGAGCTGCCTTGGTGGGAGGGGTGCACAGGAGGGCACAGACCCGCTTTCTTCCTCAGCCTGTCCGTGGCCTTTGCCTTGGTCTCTGTCATCCCACACGCACCTCTCTAGTCCTTTTGCCCCCCCCAGGGTAACAGCAGTGGGGGCGGTTGGCCTGGCCAGTCACCAGCACTGCATCTTGTGCTGTAGTTACCCAAGCCATGCATTTTACTGCAGGAGAATGGCAAGAGCTTGACTGGAACAGGGTAGACACAGCGGGTTTTTGGTCCTTGGTGGGGAGAGGAAGGCTCATGCCTTTTTGTTCCTGTTCGAGCAGGGGCTCATCTGGAAGGACCGTTCATCAGCAAGGAGAAGAAAGGGGCGCACCCAGAGCACTGCCTCTGCACCTTCGAGGGAGGTGCCTTCCAGGACCTGCTTGCCACCTACGGGTCCTTGGACTGTGTCCGGATAGTCACCCTGGCCCCAGAGATGAAGAGGAGCAGCGAGGTGATCCGGGAACTCACCAAACGGGGCATCTGTGTCTCACTTGGTAAGAGCCAGGTGCAGGAGTCCCCCTGTGCCACGCGGGCCAGGCAGCCCCTCTCGCAGGGCTGTAGCACCTCTAACAGTTTCTCCGTGCCACTGGGTGGGGTGGGATTATCTTGGAGGTCTGGTCTAGGTGGAGGTGACAGACCTGTCACAATTGGGGAACTCACTTGATGCTGCAAATCTGTTGCCCTTTGTATGGTGAGAGCCAAACTTCATATTGATTGAGGAGCCCCTGCAGTGGAACACAAGGTAGAATTCGGTGCTGTTCAAACATAGGAAAGAATAGTAGTCTTATTTGAATAAAGATGTAATTGAGGGTTGACAACGTGGAAAGGTTCAAACTCTGAAGTTCAACTGCTTTAGGCCTTATTTGACAGGTGAAACCATTTTCCAAAGGTTACTGTTGAGTTTTGATAACTCTGTTTTTCAACTGGAAGCACTGTAGGAAACCTCTCCTGGTCTTCTTGGCCACTGACTTAAAACTGGCTGCATTTTTCTTGTCCTCTGTTCCACAAACTCTTCTTTGCCTCAGATCATTGAAGAAATCCTTTTTTTTTTTTTTTTTTTTTTTTTTTTTAAAAACAAAAAAAACAAAAAAAAAAAAAAAAAAAAAAAAAAAAAAAGTTCTAGGAAAAATATTAAACCCAAATTTAATTTTATACATATTAATTAAGATTAAATTCATTTGTTGAACACAGAAAATATTGTCTTGAAACAAAAAAAACTTCCTACCTTGTTTACTTAGCTAAAATCAGATTACTCTCAATGCACTTTAATGTAGCACTGTCTTTGGTTTGCTAGTGGTTTAAACTGCTGCTGTTAATTCAAAGTCATCACAGACCTGTGGAGTTGTTTTCATAATAATCAAAGATCCTGTATTTATCCTTCCTGACTATAATCAAATCTGTCTCTTGGATTTTTTTTTTTTTTTTTTTTTTTTTAAACAACAAAAAAAAGAGGGGGAGTTATTCAGGGTGAAATTAAACCTTAAATGAGACGGGCATTTATACAGCAGAGCATCTCTGATCTCACAGCCATGTAAAGAGAAGAACCACAGAAAGACAAAGTTTGCCCACAGAGCATTAGAGTTGCTGTCTGTATTGGGGAAACCAGAATTTTCCCTCTGGGTAGTTTTATCCCCGTACTCTTTATTGGCAACGTCCCACTGTCTCTACTCCCTTCACACCTCTCTATAAAGCCTTTCAGGCTGACTGCAGCAGAAAGGCATGTCGTTGGACCTCAACCCACCCTGAAGGGTTCTTCTGGGACCAAGCAGCATTTGTTACAGTTGTGTTGTGAACGGTGAACATGTTTGGGTGAAACACCCCCTGCCAGAGTCCCCCACGGTCACGGCCAGGTCCTCTGTGCTGAGGATGACATCTCAGACCTCAGCCCAGAGTGGGGTGTTAGAGTCGAGTCCTAGGGACAGTGTTGTCACTCCCTTGGGGAAATAAATGGAGAGTCGGGAAGAAAAATCATGCACTGGTCTTTGTTCCCAGGTCACTCAGTGGCTAATCTGTCCCAGGCTGAGGAGGCTGTGCAGCATGGTGCAACCTTCATCACTCACCTCTTCAATGCAATGTTGCCGGTGAGTAGCTGAGGCCGCTTGCCCTGCACTGGCATTGTTCTTGGTGCTTTTTCTCCAGCTCCCCACAGATGCATGTTCTCCCCTGCTTGGTTCATACCAGGCCTTGCAATGAGGTTTCAGCACTGAACCTCTGGCTTCACTTTTCTACTGCCTGATCTAAAAGACTTGAGGCTGTAGCAGACTCTTGAAATTCAAGGAAATGCCCATATTTGTCTGGATGGAGCACCCAGCTTCCAGGGACTATTTGATAGATATGGCAGCTGTGTCCCTGATGGGAAAGGTCTCAGCCCACCAGTCCTGGTGATGCTCCACAGCTTGCCCTCTCTCCCCTCGGGTAGTTTCACCATCGCGACCCTGGGATCGTGGGGCTGCTGACGAGTGACAAGATTCCTGCTGGGCGGAGGGTCTTCTACGGCATGATCTCTGATGGCATCCACACCAACCCCGCTGCCCTGCGTATCGCCCACCGAGCCCACCCTAAAGGTGAGCCACGCCAGGCCCACACCGTGTCATCCTGAGCACTGTGCCATCTCCCACAGAAGCGCTGTGACAATGCTGCCCTGGCTCCCTGAAAGAGGTCACAGCCATGTCTGCTGACCCACCAGCCCTCTTGCTTTGGTCGGATGTGGCTAGAGACATCTTGGCCCCTCTCTGGAAGGGCCAGTGTGGCGCAGTGCTCAGGGCTGCAGCGAGATCAGCTGCAAAGCTCACACAGCCCTTTCCTTGTGTTCCTCAGGCTTGGTGCTGGTGACAGATGCGATCGCCGGCATGGGACTGGCACCAGGCCGGCACACGCTGGGGCAGCAGGTGGTGGAGATCGATGGGCTGAACACCTACATTGCAGGTAAGTGCCCCTTGCTAAAGAGCTAGGGACACTGCTGCCACTTGTGCCCGTTCTGGAGAGCTCAGCACACCTTGCTGTGCCAGTCAGTTGTGCCACCAGTTGTTTTTGGTGCCTGATCAGTTAATGGCTCTGTGGTGACTTGGCCCTGCGGAGAATGAGGCACCTCATGAAGAGGGAGATTACCCCATCTTGGTGGAGCGAGGAGGAATATGGTCATTTTTAGTTGTTCACTCCTTTGAACACCTTGTTGCCCAGTGTCGTGGATGCCAGAGGTTCCAGCAGGGTCAGAAAGGACAGAGAAATCCCACAGATATTTCTTGTCCCTTGTCTTTACTTAGCACTACCACTTCTTGCTAAGTTCCCTGAGCTGCAAGCAGTTGGAGACTGAGAAAGTATTTCAGAGAAAGATCGCTCCATTATCAGGTCCTTTCCTATCTCTGGCAGCAGGTCACTGCCCTGTAAGCTGGTTTCACCCAATCCAGCTGATCTTATATTGGAGCTGTGGGTTGACATCTCAGTCATCTCCCTGTGCTGCCTGCACAGGCTCTCCCTTGCCTTGGTCTGTCACTCGGCAGCAATGGCTGCAGGCCCTTCAACTTGCTCCTCATGCAGCCCAGGATTTCTGACCCTTCTGGTCATGGCAGTGCTTTCCCACCACCTCGCTTCTCCTTGCTATGAGTTGTGGGACCTGCTCAATGCCATCCTGTTTTTCTCCCAGGCACAAAGACCCTGAGCGGCAGCGTGGCAACCATGGACACGTGTGTGCGGCACTTCCAAGAAGCCACAGGTAAGTGAGCCTTGTCCACAAGCTATTGCTCCCTATGTTGACATGGCAAGAGGTCTCACTCTTGGCAGCTGTATCCACTGTACCAGGGAACATTCCCTCTTGCCCAAGACACGATGGGAAGGGCTGGGATCGGTGGCACTGGCCTCAGATGAGCACCTTTTTGAGGGGAGTTTTCATTGTGAGGTAAACTCTCCCGCTCCGTTCTCGCAAAGGTGATTGATTTTCCCCTGCCCAGGTGTTCAGGCCTCCTCTTCCCACTGTCTCCTGTAGGGATGTTTTCCCTCCCCAGCTCCTTCCAGCTGTGGTGAGGGTGTTTCAGCATGGGTCCCTGCCAGGCTGACAGTTGCCTTAGCCAGGGGGTTTGGGGTGCTCTGGCAAGGGGGCTGTTTTTTCCTACCCTAATGTCTCCCCCCTTCTCTGTCCAAGGGTGCTCAGTAGAGACTGCATTGGAGGCAGCGTCTCTGCATCCGGCCCAGCTCCTGGGGATTGAACACAAAAAGGGGACACTAAATTATGACTCCGATGCAGGTACTGGTATAGGGACAACGGTGTGAGGGTTCCCAGGTGTTGGAGCAAAGCAGGGGCTGCTGCAAATGCATCTTCATCCCCTGCTTCAGTGGGAGCTGCAGGGAGACTCGCTCTGCCTGGGATTTGCTCTGGGCTTTTGCTCCAGGGTTGTTTCCCTTCAGGCATGGAGCAGAGCCCCATAGCAAGGATGGCACTGCAGTGCCGTTCTGCTGCCATTCCTGGGGTGGGGAGAAGCTCTTCCCAGCCAGCTCCAACTGCTCCATTTCTCTGACAGCTGCTTCCTTTCTCTCTTGTCTGATGCAGATTTCCTGATGCTGAATGATCGTCTGTATGTGCAAGCCACGTACATCGCAGGCGAGGAAGTCTGGAGACAGGATGCATTCAGCATGTGATGCTGGGCTGTCCTGGTGCCCTTGGAGGCTCCCTGGCGCTGTGGTTAGCAGCTTGGGTAACCACTCCCCTTCTCTTTTATTTTTTAATTCCTTCCTGCAACTCCCTTAAAGGAGCCTCATACCAAAGAGCTGCGTTTTCCAGCGCAACTGCTGCTTCCAGTTACAGCCACGCCTGCAACAAATCTGCTGGTGCTCACTTGGTGGAGTAGGGAAGGCAGGCAGATCTGTGTTGGAGGGGGATTATCAGAGTCCCAGCAGCAACCTGAAGGATCACACAGCTCTCCTGCACGGAGTCCCCAGACAGAGGTGCTCCTGTTGCCATCTCACAGCGGTGTGAAGCTGTCCCAACCTTTGCACTGTTTTATACAGCACACACTAACCTGCCCCGTGCCCGAGGCAGGCTCAAGCCATTTCCATTCCTTTGCCTGCTCTTCGCCTTGCTCCTGGGCAGCCGTGGCTGGTTAAACATCGGCTTTCACCAGCTCAGCTTGCAGCTCTCCACCTTAAAAGGTTCCTGTTGTGTCAGCAGAAGTGAAGGATCACATTCTGATTTCCCCTCCTGTTTCCTCGGAGCAAGGCTGTCACCACTCGCCAGCTCGGTGCCATTGTGGGGCTGTGAATCCATGTGGGCTGAATCCTCAGGGCAGAGATCAAACCCAGGAAAAACAAGGCATTGCTGGTCCTTTGTGCCTTTTCCCTGCATGGACATTGAGTCCACAGCACATGGTTTTGGCTGGAGACATGGACAGCATCCTGCCATAGAAAGCAATGTTCCTCTTAACCCAGAGGTTAAGAGGTGTGCCCAGCCACACCTTGTAGAGCATCATCTGGTGGGCTTGTGCATTCCTCAGGCCACACTCAGAAGCTTTTGCTTTCTGGGATGCACCCAGACTGGTGGTGACAGGCTCACGAGCCCTCGGTCCAGCTCAGGGATGGAGGGAGAGAACTGCAGGCCGTTCAGGGCAGTTGCTGATAGCTCATTATTCATGTGTTCATTATTATCTTCTCCAATACTTGACTGTCAGCTCTTTTCCTGACACTTAGACACTTCTTTGTGAACACTGATGCTGATTTCAAACCTGCTGCAGTCAGAAAAGCCTTCCCGTAAGCCTCAACCTCTGATAAGCCTCAAACCAATTTGATGGGGTTTGTAGTGAGGGCAGGGCTTAGACAAGGGCTAAGTCTTAGCAAGGGTGGATATTGTAAGGCAAGACAAAAATCTGGTCGAGATTAGCAGAAGTGTGCTGATTTTTCCCATACTTTTTAAAAATCTGTAACAGCAATGTTTGGAAGTGCTTTCCTAGCACTTCAGAGCCCTGCTGGAATAACTGGCAGCCTTGGAGAATTTCTAACATCAACTGCCAATGTCAGCAGAAACTGTAACCTCCACAATTTGAAAGAGACATCAAATACTGCGCTGTGAGACGTGCCGTGCCGCTGCATTACAAATCTCAGCGGGGGCACTTTTGACTGCTGTTGGGGAAAAAAAAAAAATCAAGGGGGGGAAAAATGCATATGAAACAAGGTGTCTAACTTTTTTTATTATTATTATTTAAAAAATTAAATAATCAAAAAGGAAATCTGAAGTAGAGATGGAATTAGGCGATCCCTGTGTGTGTGTGACTCCCGCCGGGATCCGCCGTGCCCTGCCCGGGGTGTTGGGTGGTGGCACCCGCGCCCCAGCCCGGGACGGGGGACAGCGGTGTCCCCGGCGGGGACGGGGCAGCCGCCGAGTTTGGTGCCAGGGAGGGCGGGCAGCCCGAGTGCCGGTGTCCGGCCGGCGGGGAGGCGGCGGGGGAACAAACGCCCTGCCAGGGTGGGAGCTCGGCTCCGCTGATCACCCGCTTCGGAGACGGCTTTGTGCCTTCACCCGGCGCTCTCGGCGAGGGCAGGCCCTGGAGGGCCGGGGCGGACGGCGCCGGTGCCGCTGGGGTCCCCGGGCCTTCCC